TTTAGTTTCTGTATCCAAATCTTTTAGTTCAAATTAAAAACGATCAAATTAAAACAAAAACAGTGTAAGATCATCATGCATTGAGGCTATACCTTTCACTCACCATCATTAGCAGGGTCTTTTGAGTTGAATGGAAGGAATAAATAACAGATAGAGTTTACTCGCTATGTAAGTAGGTACTTACCACAAAAACTATGCGGTTCTAATTCCACTTCTTCACCAGGTCAGGTCTTCACAGTAAAATTTTATCAACGTCAACGTTGCCCAATTCGTGTGAATTTTTCTTCTTTATCTCCAACTCTTCAACAATTTCTCTGCCGAATGTGAGCCTAGTTGAAACCATATTGGATATATATATATAGTCACTTGCTTCAGACATTTCTTTCCTTTTAGTCTAGAAAAGTTTTTTACCAATCGGAACCGATCAATTAATAAACATTGGTTTTGAGTCTAATACTAAAATGTAACTGATGTGGCTAACGACACGGTAAATTTTCCGATAAATCATACGTGAATTTTTGACCAACGATGCGATGCAATGAGTGGTAAATAAATAAATATATATATATAATCTTGATTAAACATGTTACATGATGTATGCATTAATTTAATGACAGATTTAATTCGATTTATTCAAATTAAAAGACATTCTAAAAAAAAAGGTGTCATTTACAATAACCAATCTTTTTTATAAATAAGTCATAAGGTTTTAAATCATCTTCACTTCGAGATACACAATATTCATCACCACCTTTTCTAAGAGATATCCTAACCAAAGTCTTTGTATTAACACGATTTTGTAACAAAATCAAATATTTCGAACCATTATAAATAAAAGTATGAGAGTATAATGAAGCTAAATTAATATCAGGGGTTGTATAAATTCCATGACCAAAATTAAATTTATGACGTTTACTATGAATCAATCCAGCATCCGCGATCGTTTTTGATTTACGTGTTGACGTTGCATGATAAGAGTATGGCCATATTTTATATATCGAATGTTTTTCAGTTGATGAAGGGGTTAAAGGAATTCTTTTCCAATCACATCTACCATGAAGTTTTTTGTGATGTTTTTCATCCAAATGATGTATTTATTTAAGAAGTCAGAATTTAAGAATTTTATAGAATCCAAAGAACCACGGACTTTCAAATAGATGACTAATATCATAATCCCCTAATCTCTTGGAGTTTAAAAGGTGTCTACCATTAAATATCAAACGATGAGAAATGGTATCAGGTATGTAGCCAATTTCCTGAATTCGTTCCTTTAATTCTTGAACGGTGGTTTTACCGGTTAAATTTTCGATCAACCATTTAACCCCAGTTAAAGTTTCAATGCTAACACCAAACGGAACGTTTTTGTCAACATGTTGGTGATGAGATGATATTATTCCACCACTCAAGTAAGCCTTGTAAAATATTTGGAAATCCAGTTGTTCGTAAGTCTAGTATCATTGTCATCTCTTGATAAATACTCGTAATAAGTTATGACAGGGAAATTAGTGATAGATGTTAAAGCGGAGGCCACAACCGCTGCGGAATCAGATGGGAATGGTTTAGGTGTTCTATCGTATTCCTTATATTGCGACCACTGCTCTATTTCGATGAAAATGTAAAGGCCCAAAAATGATGAACATAATGATAATAATAATAATAACCTGTTTTCATTCATATTCTAAATAATTTCTTTTTTTTTCTTTTTTTTTTTTAAAAAAAAATTGAATAATATTTTGTGGTGTCACTATGAGATAAAAACTCAACGTAATTAAAAAAACTACTTTGTCAGTATTTATAGTGAGGGGAGGGAAAATGAAAATGGTTAGTCACTTTCTATTAGTGGTTTAACGTTTGGTAGCTTTGTACTCTAATTGGAATGTTTGTGTAAAATTTAATCTCAATAATCACAGAAATGATCTCTCGTGTAATTGGTGGAACCACGGTAGTTTCCTGAAAAAGACATGATATTAGCAAAATGTAAAATGAAGTGATTCATATGATATCCTTTCAATTTAAGTGAGGGTTATTTAATATAACCTTCTTAAAAATACAAACATGTCTCCAAAACATCAAATTTACTTGGATCGTGCAGAATTTGTTCGATCATTACTTAACGACACCACAACTGCAAACATCCTTTTGTGCGTCGATATACTACCATTCTCTCTGGATTCTTTAAGAAAAATTTCAAATTATTAACGATGAGAAAAGAAGTGAATATTTATTTCATGATTACAGTTGCAATAAAGAGATCGCAATCTCCAGATTGCATGAATATAAAGGACAGGAAAATGTTGAATTGCTATACGATAGCGTGGATTTTCAGAATTTTATTGCTTTTATGTAATTCATTCACACTTTTTTTATAAAACATTTCAATTAAACTTCTTAAATTATTTTTTTATTGTACTTTTCAGATCCGATCGAAACAAATGATCAATTGTGCTCGTATACTTTGGCCTGTAAACATAAATTTGATGTTCCGGAATTGGTCGATTTTTGTGATATTAATTTATATAAAGTGGGGAGTATTGATTATTAGAAAATTACGTTCTTTGAAAAGATGATAAGAATTGTTAAAAATTATCATTTTTTTTTATCCCAAGTGGAATAAACAACGATGGCATGTCATCCTCAGTGTGAACAAGTGGTTGGGTTTAAAGAAAT